CATTTTCATCAGGAAACCAATCATCTTGTGCTTTGGACTTCAAAAAATACATGATCCCAGCTGCTTTTGAGCCAAACGCTTTATTTTATTCAGAGCCATAAGAATACTGGTATGTGTGGGAACTACTTGCAAATTTAAAAAAATTATTTTGAACGCCCATCACTTAATACAGCAATTCTGGGGCCACATCCAAAATCAAAATTAATGCTCTTATTTGCTTTCAAGAATATTACTTTTACAGAATTAAAAAAGGAACTATCAGAGTTACTGTAATAACCCATAGACAGGTGGTCCCTTCTAAGAAAAATAATCAAAGTAAATGACCTTTCAATGAATTTCTTACACATTTCATTATATTAACCCCACATACATCAAAATCTTCACTCATAGCAAGATTTAATTAACATATTTACATATATCTTCCGCTCCCCCATCAAAACCCTGATGTTGCGACCCATCCCAAATTTTGCAGGAACATTCCAATTTCCCGTTTCAATTGAATTGTTTTGCATTCTGCAGGGCTCACAAGATCACTGAAGAATAGCTGTAGGCTTCTGTAGCAGCATGTTGTCTAACAACAAAATGATGTTACATTGTGATGTCATTGCTCTGAGTTGTGATGTCATGTCATACCCTGATGCTGTTGCATTGCAACTCTAAGATGAAGTTACAATATTTTCACACAGCAAAGCAATATGCTGTCAAAATGCACTGATGTTATGTTGTGATTTAATTTTTATTTGCAATGACATGTTGCATTATAACTTCATGCTTTAAGCTACAATATTACTTGTCACAATGATGCTGTGTTATGATCTCATCATATTAAGCTATGATATTGTTAGACTATACCATGATACTGTTGCCCTGTGACTTTATTGCCTAATCAGTCTATGATGTTGTAACGTCACATGGTTGTGTAATTTTATTGCATTCCCAATTCATCATATTGATCTCTGTTGTCATCTGGTTCTACCATTAGGTAATGACATAATATTGTGATTTCACTACTTTGATGGTGCAATGCTAGTGTAATTTCATCACTCAAGCTACATCATTAAATCCATTCATGTGATGTCCTCATGTCACAGTGATATTGTTGACTTCATTTGAGCAGTGATGCTATTATATGGCTTTGTGATGTAGCTATGTCATGATTTCATCATTTTGAGCTTTGATGTGTCCCGTGATGGTGTATTTCTACTACACTGTGACAACCACATTCATCTGTGATATTATGCATTGAACTTTTGTGCTTCAAGGTATGATTGCATTATATCAAGTGCAAGTGTGATAAGCTGGTCTTGCATCTTTATAACTCTGAGCTGCCACATCATCACTCCATGTGGCAGTGGAGTGAAGTTATGTTGAGAATTCACAACTCTGAGATGTAATATCTTTGTGTCCTATTGTGGCATCATGAAGATGCACTGACATGTCATGTGCTTGAGTTGTGGTGTCCTCATATGTTATCATGACATGATGCTACTCTGTTGTGATTTCACCATTTGAAGGCCATCATTACATTTCATATCAAAGTCATGACAAATCTGGCCTGCCAGACACATGCCTGAAAATGACCTACGTATCGTAGCTTTCCCCCTCCTCCCCTTGCAGTTGAAGAACACGTCTTATTGTGTAGCCTCCCCTGTGCTCTACCCTTACCCTGAACAGGTTGAGCCTTTGCCCAGGCATACAGTCTCTCACCCTGTGTTGTACCCCTCTCTCTTATACCCCTCCATGGTGGAGGGACCCTTTCCCTGCTGTTTAGCCCCCTTGCAGTACCTTTTATCCTGTGCCATCCATATTCACCTCCTCCTGCCTTCCATGTGTTTCTAGAAATCTCCTCGGAAGCCCGTTGGCCTAGCCAGCCATTGCTTTTAAAAATAGTTTTTAAGGTTGTGTAGGTTTAATGAGAGACATTTCTCTTCACATTTTGCACAGATAAAGGCCTCGCAGCCCTCTTGCCTCCCCAAGCAATGCCTGCAGCTGCCTTTGCTTAGAAGCCAGCACCTGTTGCCTCTCTTTGCTGCTGCCAGCACCACACAGGAACATCCCAGAATGCACTGCAGGAATTGGCACAAGGACTAGGAGAAAGCTGCTATGGCCTTTGAAAAGAGTATTGTTTCAATGCCTCTTCCCGAGACCTCTCTCAGACTTGTGGGTGGAGAAAAAAGATGATCAAAGTAGGCTAATTCTGGTGTCTTATGTGGATTGGAGAACTTCTCAGCAGAAATGCCCTTGGACATTGGAGAAGTGGGGTGGGAGTGAAGAATCTACTTGCACTCTCTCATTCCAAAGTCTGGGAGGAAGCTGGGCTGAAGATGCTCCTGGTGGTGTCCTCCCCCATCTCTGTGTGTATGTGTGTGTGTGTCTATGTGTGTAAAAGAAGAAGAGCTTAGTAACAGTCTTACCCACTCCATGGCCTTGAAAAGGAGCCTAGAAATAATATTGAGGATAGGATTTGCATTATTTGATTGCAAATCAGTTCAAAGTCTCTTGACCCAAGTACCTCTTGATGCCAGCTGGCAGAGGGTACAGGGGTACATAGGTATATCGGGATCCCAGAGGTTTGGAGTGCAGGAGCAGGCTCCAGGCTGGGGAGTGGGGCCAAGGGATTCAGAGTGTGGGCGGGGCCTGCAGTTTGAGGCAGGGGGTTGGAATGCAGGAGGGGGTGGGGGCTCTGGGGTAGGGCTGGGGATGAGGAGTTCAGGGTGTGGGAGGGGGCTCTGGGCAAGGGGTTGGGGTGCAGGGGGGTGAGGGCTCTGGGCTGGGGGTGTGGGCTCTGGGCTGGGGCTGGTCATGAAGGGGTTGGAATGCAGGCGGGGGCTCTGGGTTTGAGGGGGGCTCAGGGCTGTGGCAGGGGGTTGGGGTGCAGGGGGATGTGAGGGCTCTGGGCTGGGGGACAGGCTCTGGGCTAGGGCAAGGGACAAAGGCTTTGGGGTGCAGGAGGGGGCTCCAGGTTTCGGGGGACTCAGAGCTGGGGGTTGGGTTGCAGGAGGGGATATGGGCTCTGGGGTGGGTCCAGGGATGAGGGGTTTGGGGTGCAGGATGGGGCTCTGGATTGGGGGGGACCTCAGGGCTGGGGCAGGGGCTCAAGGTTGGGGCACGGGCTTACTTTGGGCAGCTCCCGGTCAGCAGTGCAGTGGGGCTAAGGCACGCTGACTGCCTGTCCTGACACTGTGGTGCGCTTGCCCTGGAAGTGGCCAGCTGGTCCAACGCTAGTAGGCAGGGGTGGGTGGGCACGAGGCTCCACATGCTGCTCTCACCCACTGCAGGCGCTGCCCCCCCCCAGCTTCCATTGGCCACGAACTGGCCAATGGGAGTGCGGAGCCGGTGCTTGGGGCAGGAGCAGCTCATGGAGCCCCATAGCCCCTACCGCCTAGGAGCCAGACCTGCTGCCTGCTTCCAGGGCACAGCCCGATGCCAGGACAGGTAGGCACTAGCCTGCCTTGGCTCCGCAGCACCGACAACCCGACCTTTAACGTCCCTGGTGCTGACTGGCACCGCCAGGATCCCTTTTCGACTGAGTGGTCCGGCCAAGAACTGGACAACTGGTCACCCTATCTGGGGTCCAAGAGATTTCCAGGTATTCAAGGTTTCAGAGTGGTAGCCGTGTTAGTCTGTATCAGCAAAAACAACGAGGAGTCCTTGTGGCACCTTACAGACGAACAAATGTATTTGGTTGAAGAATTGCCATTTTTAGGTCTGTTATTGAGTGACCAGAGAGAGTGAAATGGTCTCCTACTGGTTTTTGAATGTTATGATTCCTGATGTCAGATTTGTGTCCATTTATTCTTTTGCGTAGAGACTGCCCGGTTTGGTCAATGTACATGGCAGAGGGGCGTTGCTGGCACATGATGGCATATATCACACTGGTAGATGTGCAGGTGAACGAGCCCCTGATGGTGTGGCTGATGTGGTTAGGTCCTATGATGGTGTCCCTTGAATAGGCGGGTGGACAGAGTTGGCACTGGGGTTTGTTGCAGGGTTTGGTTCCTGGGTTGGTGTTTTTGTTGTGTGGTGTGTATTTGCTTCAGGTTGGGGGGCTGTCTGTAAGCAAGGTCTGAGAGGAGTGAGAGATTGTCCTTCAGGATAGGTTGTAGATCCTTGATGATGTGGTGGAGAGGTTCAAAACTTCAAAAACAGACTCCAACGTGAAACTGCAGAACTGGAATTAATTTGTAAACTGGCCACCATCAGATTAGGCCTGAATAAAGACTGGGAGTGGATGGGTCATTACACAACCTAAATTCCCCAATACTAATTTCCCTCTACTGTTATTCACACCTTCTTGTCAACTATCTGAAATGGGCCACTCTCATTACCACTTCAAATGTTATTTTTCCTCCCTTGGTATTGTGCTGTTAAGTAAATTGTCTCCTTAGACTGACCTCACACTTGGTAAGGCAACTCCCATCCTTTCATGTATTTATACCTTCTCCTGTAATTTCCACTCCATGCCTCTGATGAAGTGGGTTCTAGCCCAGCAAAGCTTGTGCCCAAACAAATTTGTTAGTCTCTAAAGTGCCACAAGGACTCCAGGTATCCCAGGGTCCCTTTCTGGTCTATTACAGATAGGGTGCCAACCCTCCAGGATTAGCCTGGAGTCTCTAGGAGTTAAAGATTATGGCATGTGATGAACTCTCCAGGAATATATCCAACCACAGTTGGCAACCCTAATTACGGACCAATTTTTCTGGCCTACCCAGGCTGTGCCGCTATCCACCCTGCCCGCTGCCTTACAAATCCGACCTGAGTTGTGTCACCGCCCTAGCCCCTGTCCCGAGCTGTGCCCCTCCCCCGCTCTGTTGAACTCCCCGCGCTGTTTCCGGCCTCGCGGCCACCACTTACTAACCGTCCCCGCTGATTGACACCCTAGAGTCCCGCCTTACATCAGTTTACTCGCAGGAGCGAGCGCGACCAACCTTAGCCCCGCCCCAGCTCGGGGGCGGAGCCCGCTGATTGGCTGGTGGTTGCACGCCCGCCCCGACTCCTGGCAGCCCCGCGGTGCAGCCTGCCTGAGTGGGGCGGGGGCCGGCCGGGCTGCTTCCACTTGAGAGATGGCGGCTGCCGTGGGGAGATCGCTGCTGCTCCGCTTTTCGCGGGGCGGCGGCGGGGCGCTGACAGCCGCCGGCTGCTTCCCCGGGCTGGGCAGGCACCGACAGCAGCACAGGACGGTGAGCGCGGCAGGCGGCGGCGGGGCTGTGCCCTTCAGGTGCCGCAGCGGGGCTGGGGGATGTGCGGGCAGGACACTGGGAAGGCGGGAGCCGCGGGACCGCAACAGCCCCCGTGGGCCGCCGCAGTCGCTTTCTCGCTGTGCGGCAGCAGCTGCTCCGCACCGGCGGCGGGCTCCGGGGAAGCAGCCCGGCCACGTTCAGCGTCTCGCGGAGCCGGCGCGGCAGGCAGGGGAGCTCGGGTCCCTCGGCGGGCGGGGCGGGACGCTCCCGTAGACACCCAGGCACTTCCCGGGGGCTCTGCCCTGTGCCCAGCCCCGCGGGGAGCCCCGCTCGGGCTTCCCCGGCGGGATCCCGGGGAGGGCCCCGGGTGCCTTAGGCGTGTGTCTGGTGGGTGAGCGCGGCTGGGGTGCAGGGCTGCCGGGGCTGAGCGAGGAGGTGCTGCTGCAGTGACTGGGGAGAAGCCCTGCACTGTCCATGTCACCTCCTCTCCTGTCCGCGGGTTCCCGGGTGGATCTTGATTGCTGGGCTCGTATTGCCTGGCGGAGGGGAAAGGCTCGGGAGGCGCCGGGGGGACCCCTCGTGATGAGGCGAGCTCCTTCTGGTTAGGGCTGATAATGGTATTAACGGTGGAGAGATCCCGGGAGCTAGCGAAAGAGGGGGGCAACCATAAAGTGAAACCGGCCTGCTTTTATTCTAATTGCATTTAGAAGTGCTGAGGAGCGGCATTGGGGCTTCCTTCTTGGTGGTCAGCAGAGTGTCTTCTTCGGGATTGTCCACAGCCATATGTGTTGGCCCCTAGCCAATGATGTAACATAGTTGTAAGAAGCTGGTCTCCCTCCCTCCCTCAGAGTAAAGTTGTATACTGAAAGCAAGACCATACAGGCTGGTTAGTTTAACTAACACTTCCTCTTAAATATGTACTTGCCTGTAATGCTTAATCTGCTAAACACATGGCAGAAAAATGATCCTTGGGGATAGGAATGAGGAAGGTAGTGTGTAGGTTGTGCATGAGGGAATAATCAAGGCTACGATGAGTCATGCAGCAGTGTCAAAGTTGATATCATTCTGCATATGACAACAAAAAACACAGAGTTGAAGGGATTAAACTATAGAATGGACAGCATTGAGTTTCTAAAGGAAATGGCCCACCTTGATTATCATGCACATTGTAAAGGTAAAAGAGTGTCAGTTGTGTTGCTGAATTTTTTTTATGTATCATTAATATTGATGTGAGCTTTTCCATAGTTGTGCTGAACTCTTTGTTTTGTTTTCTAATGTTATATAAACTGTGATCCATTTTTAAACATCCCAACAAAATCCTTTCATTTATTAATACTCACAAACTTGTTTTTAAAATTTTCTAAGTGATTCTCTAGAGTCTCTCGATAAACCCCTGTTTATTAGCTCTTTGGGGACTAGAAAACCAACCTATGTTTTAGTTAAGCTGAGCAAATAAAATTAATAAAACATATGCAAGGTATGAAGGTGGAAGGGTGTACAAGGCCACTAGTGTGCTCTTACAGCTCATTAAAGCAACTGTTCAACATTCTTAGCATTATCTTACTGCATATCTGCTATAGTGATGGTTAATTTATGTGAAGTTTGAATTAAAAGTGCCTTGATTGTAGAGAGTCTGCATTTGTATCTTCCTCTACAGATCACTATCAAAACTGAAGGCTAAATTCAAATGTAACGGTGTACAGATAAGAAACAAAGGAAGTAAGAGCCAAAGTAGAAGTATAATAAAAAAGAGGATCTTGCATCTTCTAGCTGAAAAAGTGTAACTTTAAGATGGGATCGAACATGTACAAGTTACAGATGGAAAATTTGGTACATGATCCCTCCTGCTTTTCAGTGCTACTATTTACACTGCTTCTCTGCCATCATCGTTAAGCAAACCCTGTCAAACTTCCCTTTCCCTCCACCTGCAGACTTATAAATTAATAAATGGCAAATAATCTGCATACAGATATCTGAATAGGAAATCTTTGTACAATTGTCAAGTGACAGGATAGTAAGTATTGTGATAAGACAGATGGCAGACAAGTTGCTTGTCAAATGATGTATAGGATTTTAAAAAATTAATGCCTTATTTTCTTCGTTGCTAGAGTTCACAATGATACTAGTTTACACTGGGTTTAGAAAGTTTACAATATATTTAAACAAATGGTAGAACTACAAAATAGCTCTTTAAGGAAAGCTTAGTATCACATGTATACAAGGAGTATTTTTTAGATCTGTAATCAAGCTGAAGGAGAAGGAAAAAGTCTTTGGGGCATCCTAATCTAGCGAGATACTTGATTATACTCTGTTAGCAATCAGTTTCTGGATCAGCCTTCTCAAACTGGCCTTGGAATATGAAATAGCTTTTAATTGGCATGAATCTGGTGATGTCTGCATTGAAGTATTAAAGTATCTAAATGTTAGTAGCCATAGGAAGTGGGAGAGGTTTAGTTTAATTTTTAGGTTTTTTGTATAACTTCTTCCTGGTTTTAAAAGATATATTGAGTAACACACAAACATACTAATGTCGGGATAAAATCATAAACACAATGAGGGGAGAACATCTACAGACAGAGCAATTTTTTGTTTCCTTATTTTCCTTTCAAGATTAAATTAGACATCTCTCGGCAATTGTCCTGTGTATACAGTAGGTGGCACTCTCTATTGGTCTGTAGCTCGGATGACTCCCGGCAACAATTCTGACTTCTATTCTGTTGCTCAAGTACATATTAGTATGTGAGTTGGATCCTCACAGTATGCTAGTTGGGTCATCAGTTAAGGACATGTAATTCACAAATAGATTAGCTTTTTGGGGGTAGAAGGGAGAGTGTGTGATAAAATACAAATGCCAAATGGAGTTTTTCTCTTTGCTGACCTTGGGCATGGGGCAGAAAAATGGGTACATTAGTGCTATAAGCAAATTAGTGTACTTCACTTAGACTTGGTAAAGATTTTTGTAAAATACAAATTTTGCTTATGTCTGTTTGGAAAAGCCTATTAACTATTTGTCTTCACTTGAAGAAAAAATTACTAACAGCACACCTTTGTGTATAATATGTAATAAACCAATGTGTGAGAGCTAAAAAGTAAACCGGTATGGAAGGAAGTTTCACTTTGCAAGTTTTCAAGGACTATTTCTACACAAATGAGTAAGAAAGAATTGCTGAAAATACTGTGGTATTCCTCAGTTCAGACTGTGTGTACAGAATACTCAACCATGAAATCTTCTTACAGCTCTTATCTTATCACAGGTTTCAGAGTAACAGCCATGTTAGTCTGTATTCGCAAAAAGAAAAGGAGTACTTGTGCACCTTAGAGACTAACCAATTTATTTGAGCATGAGCTTTCGTGAGTTACAGCTCACTTCATCGGATGCATACCGTGGAAACTGCAGCAGACATTATATACACAGAGAGAACATGAAACAATACCTCCTCCCACCCCACTGTCCTGCTGGTAATAGCTTATCTAAAGTGATCATCAAGTTGGGCCATTTCCAGCACAAATCCAGGTTTCCTCACCCTCCACCCCCACCCCACACAAACTCACTCTCCTGCTGGTAATAGCCCATCCAAAGTGACAACTCTCTTCACAATGTGTATGATAATCAAGGTGGGCCATTTCCTGCACAAATCCAGGTTCTCTCACCCCCTTACCCCCCCTCCAAAAACCACACACACAAACTCACTCTCCTGCTGGTAATAGCTTATCCAAAGTGACCACTCTCCCTACAACATGCATGATAATCAAGGTGGGCCATTTCCAGCACAAAACCCTATGATCCCACTGAGAGTTACCAAAAGCAACTACAGCATTTGCTCAAGAAACTCCCTGAAAAAGCACAAGATCAAATCTGCACAGACACACCCCTGGAACCCTGACCTGGGATATTCTATCTACTACCCAAGATCCATAAACCTGGAAATCCTGGGCGCCCCATCATCTCGGGCATTGGCACCCTGACAGCAGGATTGTCTGGCTATGTAGACTCCCTCCTCAGGCCCTACGCTACCAGCACTCCCAGCTACCTTCAAGACACCACTGACTTCCTGAGGAAACAACAATCCATCGGTGATCTTCCTGATAACACCATCCTGGCCACTATGGATGTAGAAGCCCTCTACACCAACATTCCACACAAAGATGGACTACAAGCCGTCAAGAACACTATCCCCGATAATGTCACGGCTAACCTGGTGGCTAAACTTTGTGACTTTGTCCTTACCCATAACTATTTTACATTTGGGGACAATGTATACCTTCAGATCAGCGGCACTGCTATGGGTACCCGCATGGCCCCACAGTATGCCAACATTTTTATGGCTGATTTAGATCAACGCTTCCTCAGCTCTCGTCCCCTAAAGCCCCTACTCTACTTGCACTATACTGATGACATCTTCATCATCTGGACCCATGGAAAAGAAGCCCTTGAGGAATTCCACCATGATTTCAACAACTTCCATTCCACCATCAACCTCAGCCTGGTCCAGTCCACACAAGAGATCCACTTCCTGGACACTACAGTGCTAATAAACAATGGTCACATAAACACCACCCTATACCGGAAACCTACTGACCGCTATTCCTACCTACATGCCTCCAGCTTTCACCCTGACCACACCACACGATCCATCGTCTACAACCAAGCTCTGCGATACAACCGCATTTGCTCCAACCCCTCAGACAGAGACAAACACCTACAAGATCTCTATCAAGCTTTCTTACAACTACAATACCCACCTGCGGAAGTGAAGAAACCGATTGATAGAGCCAGAAGAGTTCCCAGAAGTCACCTACTACAGGACAGGCCTAACAAAGAAAATAACAGAACGCCACTAGCCGTCACCTTCAGCCCCCAACTAAAACCCCTCCAACGCATTATTAAGGATCTACAACCTATCCTGAAGGATGACCCAACACTCTCACAAATCTTGGGAGACAGGCCAGTCCTTGCCTACAGACAGCCCCGCAACCTGAAGCAAATACTCACCAACAAC